TGGAACTGGGGATTGAATTCAGGCCCTTGCGCTTGCCAGGGAAGCACTTATGCTACTGAGCCATCACCCCAGCCCCTGAGTTTTACTCTTAATAAAATTCCTTAATGAAGACCCAGGAAGAAAGCAGTCTCATAATGTGGTTCAGCCTGAACCTTGCACTCTGGCAGTCCTCCTGCTTGGGCTTGCTGAATGCTAGGATTATAGGCATGCGCCCAACACCTGGCTTGAGCTGTTTTCTGTATTTCAATATTTAATGAAAATAAATTTGCAACAGACCCAGATATGTTATCTTTTCAACAGAAATTAAAAATCCAAGAGTATAGTTATATGGATGTTTTAGTATTTTCATTTACTTACAAATGATTGCTGTAGCCCGGGCTGGCCTTGCGCTCACAGAGCCCCTCTTGCCTTAGCCTCCCAAGCGCCGGGATTATAGGCATGAGCCCCCACGGGTGGCCCAAAAGGATATGGAGGAGAGGGACTTAGTCAAGGAACAGGTGAAGAGCATCCAGAGACTTCTATCTGGATTAGCATTTCAAATTTCAGCTGAGGGGCTGGGAATGGAGTTGGACTGTGGTGACAAGTTGGACTAGAAGAAAAAGGAAAGGTCACACGAGCTTGGCTAGTCACGTGGTTGCTTGGGTTTGGTGTTCAGTGCTGCTAACTGAACCCCGGGCTCTCACACTGAGCTGTATCCTCGGCCCATTTTATTTTGCAACAGGATCCAGCTGAGTTGCCTCATCAGCTTCCTTGTGCTGAGATCACGGGTGTGCACCGCCGTGTCGCACTGATGTCGCATCTCTTCAGAGGGGGCTTAGTGTCTTCTCCACTGAGCTGGAATACTCACTGAGGGCAGTTTGGATGGCTGCTCTGACAAGTTACCACAGACTGTGGCTAACAGTAACACAAATTTCTTGTGTCGTAGTTCTGGATGTGAGAACCCCACACAGGTGTATTGGGCACAGCAAGGGGCACACCCTCCTGTAGGCTCAGGAGAACCTGTCCCCTGCCCCTGGCGGTTCCTAGAGACCCCTGATCTGTGGCTCCCTCCTGCCGCCCGCCAGCCAGCCAGCCAGCAGCGTCGCATCTGTCACATGCTTCCACGGCTTGCGCTCATCCCCTGCCATCCTCTCCTTTCAGGGGGACCTTTGTGATGGCTGGGGGCAGACCATGGACAACCCAGGTCCTCTCTGCATTCCAGGGTTCTCAACCTCATCAACGCTGGTACTTGCCTTTGCTGTGGGATGTGGCCAGCACTGCGGAGGCTTCCTCCACGTGCCATTGCAGCCAGTAGTGCGATTAGGAAAAGCCCACTCGGATTTTAATGATTAGCCTCGCATTTTACCTACATTTAATTTATTTCTTTTTCAGAGTTTCCCCAACCCCTCCTAGCAAATGTTTTAGAAATTGTCCCACTACAGTTGGAGGTCATTTATGGCATTGAATGAACTAAATATTAACTGAAAATCATTTAATACTGACTTCTGTGATTGAGACCTGGACTCACTAGATAGCCCAAGCTGGTGTTGACTTAGAACCTCCTGCCTTGGCCTCTCCAGAACTGGGATTGTAGGTGTGTGCCGCCACACGCAGCTGACACTAATGTTTTTGAAGTCCCAAGGACTGTGCCTCGGTAATGAACTGCTTCTCAGGCATGCTTAGTGCCCTAAGTTCAGTCCCAGCAACACACAAAACCCCTAAGTGCTAGAGAACATCACATCATCATTAGGAAGACAAAGAAAACTTTACTACTGGGGTGCAGAAAAAGAAAAGGGATCGTCCACTGTATTCCGTGCTTCAGTGGTAATTGAGCATCTGACAGTAAGTGGGGAGCAACTTAGCATAGGAAAACACATGGCGTCTAGACATACTAGTTTAGTAAGTCTTGCCTGTATTTCTGTGGGAGTAACAGATCCTAACAGCGTTATGAGGGTGTGTACCCTGTACATGCGCAAGTTTGGCACGTTTGACATGCTTTAGGGTTAAATCACCACGAGCATGATGACATAACCACCCCCCAAAGTTCCTGACCCGTGAAGTATCTCTGCCTTCCTTCCCTCCTCCACTGTTAGGCAATGTAATCTGCCCTCTCTGTACGTTAACTTTCATTCCCTAGACTTTTATACAGTCAGTATGTATACTTGCTTTGTTTGGCTTCACTTTGAATTACCTGGGGATTTCAGCTATGTTCTCATGTGTATCCACAGCTCATTTCGTTTCATTTTCGTTTTTTTCTGAGACAGGGTTTCATTATGTACTAAGTAGTTCAGGCTGGCCTTGAACTTTTGGTGCCCCCACACTTGGCCCTGTACTACATTGTTGAGCAGTGTCCTGGTACACGGATGTCCCAACGTTTTGTTCACTCACATTTGGATGTCTGGCGTGCCTTTAGTTTTTTGACTATTACAAATACAGCTGCTATGGAATGTTCATTTACAAGGGATTCTATAGGATATGTGCTTTCATTTCTCTTAAGTACTTGGCAGTAGAACTGCTGGGTAATATGACTGGAGTATGTTTTAACTTTTAAAGAAATTATCAGCTCATTTTCCAAGGAAGTTGTGTCATTTTATAACTCCATCAGTAGTACATGAGTTGCTTTTTTTTTTTTTTTTTTTGGCAGAACCCAGGATTGAACTCAGACCCTTGCACTTGCCAGGCAAGCACGTATTCTACTGAGCTATCTCCCCAGCCCCCATCAGTAGTACATGAGAAAAAATTCAAGTTTTAAGAGTTTGAAAGTATCTAGTGGCCATTGCTTGAATACTCAAACAAAACGTGCAAATCATGTGCTGGAGAGATGGGCATTTAAGGAGTCTACGTGATATTAAGGGCTGCCTTGGTTCATGAATGCTTCTGCTTGCAAATAGTTCTCAGAAGTGTTCCAACAAAACTTTGTTTCTTTTGGGTGGCAAACACAGCTGTGGCCATCTTCCCCACATAAATACAGATGTAGCCATCTTCTCCAGAATCATAAAACGAATTTATGTTGTGAGCCTGTTATGGTTGGTATCTAGTTGTCCTCCCAAAGCCTCACTGTAAGTCACGGGCGGATGGGGCGGCGCCCCAGCCTCTCCTCGAGCCCTGTAGTGCCGGGTGTCATCATCTGCTGTGACTGAGGCCGCCTCAGGCAGAGATGTCTGGGGAAGACGGAGGCGCTGACCGTCTCTCCTGAGCAAATAGGCTCCGAGGTCTTGCTACGAGATTCAGGCTGTTTTAAACTGTGAAAGCCAGGCTGACCTCAAATTCATGCAATCCTCCTGCCTCAGACTCCTGAGGGTTGGGATTTCAGAAACCATTCTGTCTGCCTGGAAGCCAGCTGAATATGGGCTGAAACCTCCAGGAGCTGAGTTAAATAAACCTTTCCTTTCTTCATTTTGAATGTTGGGTATTTGTCCCAGTAAGGAGAGAAGGGCAACTGAGACAAACCTAAGTAACATCACTGTGTGTGAACACATATGCAAAGCATCGTATAACATGGTAGGGCTGGGGCTGGTGAGATGGCTCAGTGGTCTAAAGCACCTACTTAGAACAAGCTTAGCAAAGCACAAGTGACCGCGATTCAATTCCCCAGCCCC